AACGGGGCTGGCCCCGGGGGATCCCGCGGCCCCCCAGGGCCCTGCTGCCCTCTCCGGGGGCGGCTGGCTCTCGGCAGACATCCTCAGGTGCCCCCACGCAGGGGCTGGGAGCCCAAGGAGGCCGCAAATTCGGAGGAATCACTTTTTTTTTTACCTCCGCAGCAGCTTGGGAAGCCTTTCTGGATGGCTAGAGAAGTGACTTTCTCTCAGGGCTTTGTCTGCTGACAGCCCCTCCGTGCCGATGGCTGGCTGGCCCTGTGCTGCGGCCACTTTGTAGGTGGCAAAGTTGCCCAGAGCTCCGTGCTGAGAGCCCTGCGCAGGCTCTTGGTGAGCAGCCTGTGCCAAGGTACCGCCCCACCACCTCCTCAAGACAACAGAGGGTTTCCTTGGAGCCTCTCACCCGTACATCCTTGCTAACCTGTAGTTTACCTGCTTCAAAGCCCATCATTTAAGAACAATTTCCAAGTGGGACAACAAACATCCTGAAGCAGAGCTGCACACAGTGTCTGGCAATCCCAGCCCAGAGCCAAGATCAGCCCCGATAAGAATCACAGATACCAGTCTCACACCTGGAAATATCATGACCTGTGCAGCACTGCTTTACATTTACTGTGTCTAAACAAAGGGATTTGATGGGTGGTAATGTGCTGCTGACGTGAACCTGCTGGCCACCACCACCAGCACAAACGCTGTGCGTTGGTATTCTGGGCTGGCTGCTGATTTAAGACCTAGATGTTGCTGGTTACTATATCTGGAACTGAGCAGAGCTAGCACTTGGCATGACTGTGCCTTGCGCTACGTGCCTGCATCCACTGCCATTAGCAGGGAGAGCAAAACTTCCACTGCCCTTGCAAGTCAGTGTAGATGGATCAGCTCCTTGCTTAGGAAACAGCTCCCTTTTATGTCCCAAAGGTCCTGTCTGCAGCCTCCCAGGCAGAGATACACCTGTTTGTTCCTTCAGCAGCCACAGGACCATATGAATGGACGATAGTTTGCTGTCTCACAGGGATACTGTGAGCCGCCTTCTGTAGGCTGCAATAGCCTCAGATGGAAAGCAGGACTTGGGTTTGTTACCTTATACGCTTTAGTTCCTGGTACAGTTCCACTCTCAACCTACCCATTGCCCCCTACATGGCTCTTGCTATCACCTGGAGGCCACAAGATCTGAACTAGCAAGCTTTTGTCTTGTCTTTGCAGCTCCCTGGCAATTGGAACCACAACTGGATACAGGCTTTTCTCCTTAAGTTCTGTGGAACAACTGGACCAGGTCCATGAAAGCAGTAAGTCTCCTCTTTTGCTGCGGTGGAATATTGGCCAACAGACTTTACCTGTATTACTGCACTTCAGCCTGCCTTGAGGGGGTGATTCTGCTCACTGCCATTGCACATATAGCATCCATTTCTGCTGTACCCATATCAAGAGAGGAACAGTTCTTGTTATTGCCTTGTGCACAGCAGCCTTTAGAGTGAGCTACAGCCTTGGAGAAGCTTCTGAACAGTCAGCAGTACTTTAACAAAGTTGAAGGAGTCCCACAAGTTTAGAGTCCAGCTTCTTTTTCACTGCTGTCAGTCTGACAGCAGCAGTTTGTCCTGCAAACCAGCACTCAGAGGTAGTTTACCACTAGTATGTTTCAGATACATGGACAGAAGACTGCAGAATCCCAGCACAGATGCTGGATAACTCGCAGACTTTTAGTCCTATGTGGTATTTACAAGCAAGATGTTTTTAACAGGTTTCCCATGTAAGAAGATCATTCACAGCAGGCTTTCAGCTATTAGCTGTGCTCAGAGCAGCATGCAATGCACTTAACAGCCCGAAACAAGTGAGGCCTCATGGAACATATACTCTAGTCTGGTTCAGGCCATGGCCAGAAGTATTCCAGCAAGATGCACCAAAGATATGCCTCACAGCTAGGAGATGCTGGTCTCTCTCCACTGGCTGTAGAGGGAGCCTCAGCAACCAGACATAGCTGCATCACCTGGAACAAAGTCCAGGCTCTTTTCCTCTTTACCCCACAGAGTAGCTCAGCTGCTATACAGCAGCAAGCCATAGACTTATTTTAAAGTTATTTAGGACTTTGGATTGCCCCCAGAGTCAGACCAAGGGCCAGAGAGAAACAGATTGCTGGTGGTGGCACACTCAAAAGTGATGGGCTGAGACATGAGCAGTCCCCATACCTCCAATGCAGGACAGCCCGAACACTGAGCACCACTCAGGACACTTAAGAGTCACGGTCTCTGATGATTTAGGTACAGGTCCACCAGGACCATTGTAATGGTACCTTCTCAACGCAACAGGAGCCATCCCAAACATGATCTCTGCAAGACATACCACACCATGTTCACCACAGCCATGCTAGAACTCTCTAGAGACTGTGACCCCAGTGACAGGGAGGGCTCAAACACATCAGCCTTCCCTAAGGAGGCTGGGAGAAATCAGACACCATACAGAATAAACAGTGAGTTGCACACAGCTTGTCCCTTACCTCAATAAGCCCTTGCTTGCCTACTCCCTCCAGGAAAGTCCCTAACCAAGCTGCCTGAGCTCCTCCTTTTTATATCCCCTTCCCAAGGATTAGTTTCAGCTGGAGGGCGCTGCCCAGGAGAGGCACAACAGCACTGTCAAAGGGGGCTGGCTTAAATTCTGCCTTCAGGGGAAGATTCCGTAATCCCTTCCTGCTCTGACGTAAATGCTTTGTGCCAGGTATGAGAAATTTTTAACAAAAGCAGGTGTTGAACACCTTAGCACTGAGCCTTCCAACCCAAATCCCTCCTGAGTTGAGTCTTGCTGGTTGCTGCAAACAAACCAACCATTTGCCAAGCTAAAGACTTTGTCTTGCTTTCCTTCTGTGCCCAGATGAAATCCCAGATGTTTACATCGTGGAGCGTCTGTTCTCCAGCAGCCTTGTGGTTGTGGTCAGTCATGCCAAGCCACAGCAAATGAATGTCTACCACTTCAAGAAAGGGACAGAGATCTGCAACTATAGCTATTCCAGTAACATACTGTCCATCCGGCTGAATCGTCAGGTAAGAGGCTGGGGAAAGGCGTGAGCCAGCGTCGTCCCACTCTGGCTCTTGGCTGGTGTTGCCTTTCCAGCTGGAACCCCACTGGCAGGTTTGCACAGGGAGTGTGAAGTGGGACTGGAGGGGTAGGGACCTGTCCTCTTCTGGCAGCTCCCCTTCGGGCTTGGTGACCCCTGACAGAGGAGCAGGATGGCTGTGGATATCATCTGCCGCAACTGTTTGCTTCAGTAAAATGAAGCTAACTCCTTGTTCGCATAGCAGTTACACAAGGACTTTTTGTTGTCTGCCTTCTTGCCTATTCAGCGTGCAGCTCTGCCAAAAAACCACCTTTTCATCTTCCTCCCTCCCTTGGATTCCACATCCTGACTTCAGGCCCACCTCTGCCATCTTGGTTGCAAATGAGACCTTCAAAGTTCGTAACAAAACCCAGGAGTAACTTGAACTCCATGGATGAGGCAAAAGGCTGCTTCTCAAGTACTGCTAGCAGCCTTGTTTTATTTTTAAAGGTATAGAAAAAAATCAGGCCACTTAGAAGGCAGCTTTTAGAGTGTTATTCTCTGAACTGACATAGCCTCATGCAGCCCTGAGCCGTTTTGGAGGATTTTAAGTCACCTTTTCTTTTTTTCCATAATTATTTTCAAAGTATATGCCATAAGAAGCAGAGGACATTTTACAATGAAGAAATAAGCAGTCTGTGTAATTGTATATAATCAGCCTCTCCTCAGTTAGCAACAGTGAGTCCTGCAGCAAGGCTCTCCCATAAGGAAACTCTGGGTTGAGTTTCCAGTAAAGCTGTGTTTGACCAGAAGCTCCTGTACTACAATTAAATCCTGTCCTAAATTGATTTTTTTCACTTACACTTACAATGGAGCTGGAGAAATAAGGACTTCCTTTGAATTGCAGATAGATGTATATGTATAAAAATAAACTGGGAGGTTCTGCTTAGCAGCTCTAGGAGATTAGTGTGAGAATAAAATAAGTTCAGGCTTCTCCCCGTGTGCTGCTCTGGAGATTACCTGGAGATGATGCACAGGCCCAGCTTTGCATCCGCATTCCTTGGCTGCTTTAGGAGCTTGGGTTCAAATCCTGGGCTGAGGTCGTCCTCCAGCCATAATGCAGACAAACCTGGAGAGGTTTGAAGATGCTACAGATACTTGGGCAGATAGATCACCGTTTCAGTCTACATTCAAGATTTAAACTGGTGGCAGTCAGGCTCTGCGTGTGCTGTGACGTTTGAGCCTTTTGCCTGGGCTTCTGTATGAAAACTATACTTCGTTAAAAGTCCATAGAAAGCCAAATCCCATACAAGGTGTTAACAGAGGAAAATGGTGGCAAATAAAACGGGAACAGGTCTCAAACAAATGGTGCATGTTTCGATTTGATCTCTCTGTGAAAAAGTCCTCACTGTGCAAACAAGCAAGTCCCTCGGTTGTTGTTGATCCCTGGGAATTTTTGTTCCAAGCTCCATTATGGCTATCGGGTGTGTTAAGGTAGATCGTGATTTGTCTCAAAGTGGGGAATAAGGCTGTGCTGTGGGACCGGTGACAAGCTCTCCCGCAGCCTCCCTGGGTTTTCATTCACTGCTGAAACCCTGCTGAGGTCTTTGGAGAGGTTTGATTCTTTTCCCTGGCTGTGTCCATACCCAGCACATTTAAGTCCCCAACACACAACTCAGTTATCTAACCTGATTCGTGTCAAATTGAGGTACTAAAGAAAAATACTGGTGAGCAGTAACATTTTGTACAAGACGCAGTGCCTTGAACCCTGTGTAGCCATCACAACACCAGGCACCTTCTCTGAGGCTCCGTCTGTGTGCACAGTGAGGACAGAACCCATTTCTCATCTCAGCAGGGTCTGCTGTGATGTTAGCGTGGGCCGCAGGGCTGCATGGAGGGCAGGAGGCAGAGAACCAGCCCTCTCCCACTCGTGGTGAGCTTGTCTAGGCCTCCTTCGCCTGTTCACCTCCCACCCCCATCACTTTCCTGGATTTTGTCCCTGTCAGTGCCAGCATCTCTCAGCATAGAAGTCGGTGCAGCAAGGCTGCAGCTCTGGCTGTTGCTTTGCCGTCATCTGGAAACCTCTCTGCACCTGTACATCAATAGCAGTGCGTTTTGCAGTTCTGGGAAAGCACGTGGTGGCTTTGCCGAAGTCAGCTGTATAAATATTACTCTGACGGTCTCTGCTAGCGAGTTGATGGCTGTTACTGTAGAAAAGGCAAAGTCTTCCTGGAAATGCAAAATGGCTCTGACACAGCCCCAGATGCTGTGGTTAGCAGGAATAGAAGTGGGACAGCGT